CTTGGAAGAACGGTTAAGAAGACCAGAACCAAGCCAGGAGGGGCAAGGATCGCCGGTCTTGAACTACTGGAAATCCCAGCCACAGTGGCCCAATTTGGCAGCAATGGCAGCGCAGTACTTGGCGGTTCCGGTCACTTCAACACCCTCAGAACGGTGCTTTTCACGAAGTCGACTGTTACTGCCGTACACGCGCAATCGCCTCCAACCGGAAAGCATCGAACGTTTGATGCTTCTAGATTCATGGTGCTCCTTTGACTTCGACGATTAGTCCTTCCTTTTTTTTCCGTGCTCCTTTTTCTTCTGCCCTTTTTCCCCCTCTTTGCTTTCTCTTTCTTTGCTTCCTCTTTCTGCTTTCCCACTACCTTTTTTTCCTGCCCCTTCCTCCCCTCCGCTCTTCATTTTCTACTTCCTTTTTGTTCCCTTCGTCTTGATATACCGTCCGTGCAACAAAATAAAGATCAGACCTTTATATACAGGGTCTCTTTGGGAAACAAAATATATCTTCGACGTTTTGTGAATGGTCTTTTGCTTCTTTAGTTTAAATTCTAGTCACTCATTGTGTTAATCATGAAATCATTAAAAGCACCATGTAGTCTTCGGTTCTTCGGTTCTACGTAGAAAATGTCGGTTCGGTTCCGGTTCGGTTCTTGATAGGAACCGAACCGTGTTTTTACGGTTCCGGTTCGGTTCGGTTCCGGTTCCACGGTTCTGATGAGGATCCCTAGTATGCACCATATTTTCTCTATTTTTAGAAATAATAATAAGGATAATGAAATTATCTTTTATTAATTATTTCAGATAAAAGATAATTATTTTATAATTATTCTTTTATCAAAACATTAAAATAAGTATATTTATTTTATTTTTATAAAATTTAAAACATGCTTGCATTTTAAATTTCTGTGTAATATAAATAAATAATCATGTGATTTTTTATTGTTACATAGTAGGAACATTAAATTCTTAAATGTTTTAGGATATTCCTAGATAGAAAGAAAAAAGAATGAATTGTTTTTTTGTTCTAAATGTAAATAATAAACAATAGAAGGGCTTTGTATTGTCTGTTTTATATTGTGTGATGTGATGTAATGTGGTAGTATTGGAATTTGAAAATTAAAATATTAAAATTAATATAATGAAAAAAAAATTATATTTTTCTTAGTATTTAAGAACATAAAAAAAATTAAAAAAAATTATATTTTCATTTTATATTAAATAATTAATATATATACATTAATTAAACCAGGGCTAAATATTTACTTTTGTTTAATTCCTAAAGTGTTTAGCAATGGAGTCTGCAATGTATACTTGGACTTGCTTTACCTATGATTGGTAGAAAGGCGTGTAAAATAGATGGTCAGCTTTGTCAAATGAAAAATCACGAAACTATTAACTTGAGAAACCTTTGATGTTGATCACTACTAATAGAGATAATGTCTTGACTTAATCAAAGATTACCAATAACTGCAGTAATGATAGTGTTCTTGATAGTTTGATCTTGTAATAAAGCCTTGCTGAATATATTAGAACCAGGTCGAAGAGCAAAATACTTATTCTGCCCCAAATTTAACTTTGAAAGTCAGTTGGGAGAGAGTGTAAAGACAGTTGAAAAAAAACATTAAAGTGTACTTGTCATCTTGTTTCATAAGAGAATTGTATATTTCAACCATATGAAAGGTAAGTAAAGAGAGAATGGGAGGGGCAAGATCTTACTACTACAAGAGGAGAAACAAAAATGGAGGTAAAAAACAAACCACTTTTCATATAAAAAATAAACTTGGTTTGTTATTATTACTTCTTTACAACTTCCTTTTTCACCTCCATTTTTGTTTTTCTCATTGTAGTAGTAAGATCTTGCCTCTCCCGTTCTCTCTTTACTTACCTTTCATATGGTTGAAATATACAATTCTCTTATGAAACAAGATGACAAGTACACTTTAATGTTTTTTTTCAACTGTCTTTACACTCTCTCCCAACTGACTTTCAAAGTTAAATTTGGGGCAGAATAAGTATTTTAGGTCGAAGAGGTAGTGTCATTGAGGCCAAATCAGAGATAGTTTATAGAATTAAAATCCATAATCTTAAAAATATGTTCGATATCATATACAAAATCTTTTTTACATTACTATTCTTTATATTTTTAAATTTATTTCTTATATGAAATGGATAATGTGTTTATATAAATGGATAGATTGACTTCATGCTACAATGCTTAGCTGATTGCCGTAGTAATTGCTGTATGCTGTGTATGCTTTTGATATTGAACCGAATACCTTATTCTGATGATGTTTTAGGCAATGTAATGTTAATGTGTTTTACCACCACACTTTATTCATATCATACATATCGTTCCGTTTCATCGTACTACAATCAATACGAGCTCGATGCAAAATATCATATAAATTCATAAAGCAGCATAGAGTTTTGTCAATAGTGTATTATTTCACATTGATCTTGCACAGGCTTTAAATACTCATCAAGCTAAGCAAATGTTGTGCGCAAAACAGAGCAGCATGTGGTTTCTCTATACACTTCTTGTGCATTGGTGGTGGTATGTAGCAGAACAATCAACAGAAGAGTGATTGAAACGGACAGCATGCGCATGAATACGTTATCCTGAAATCATCACACCATAACAATCATCTTACGTTCCAGAAAAACCTTTTATATCATCCTCCAGCACTGCCATCAATAGCAGGGACTTGTTTATTATTTTCTGGATTGGGTGGCCCTGCATTACTACTCCCGCAAAAATGTGATTCGCACCTGTGGAGTTGATGTCCAGTCGGAAGCATGTGCATTGAACGGTGTTATAAATCAATCATGTAGGATCAAGTAATATATGATGCGTGAGTAAAAGCTACATCCGGGTAAATGCCTCAGATAGTAGCTAATGTTAATTACGTGATCCATACAATGACAACTTCTTCTTGAGCATAGCCAATCCGCGTTACACCAAGATGTGTATGGATGAGGAAATGTCTGCACAAGTGAGGTTATGAAGGAAATAACAGCAATTGTTAATGATGGATACAACATTTCGCCAAATATAGGCTTCGCCGAGAGCAACTCAACTCACAAAGCACCTTTGACTTATCTATTTTATTACACAAACGCCATACACATGCATAAATCCCCTTAAAACGAAAGACTTAAATGTATAGAGCCGTTAGAACACCCGATATGAAGTTCAATCATAAATTTCGTCTTAAAAAGGAAAAGAAAGAAGCTCTTGAAAAACTCATAAGTTTTCTACTCACTGCTAAAAGCTCTTGTCCTCAAGTCTTTTAAAAAAAGGTCAGGGTAAAAAAAAAAGCGGGGCTCTACATCGCCTGAGGCAGCAGCATAACACACACTGTCGTGGCCGTATAGGCCATAACAAGTCAATCTTGACATTGCATCAACCAGGGCTGCAAGGCAGCATATCCTTGTACAAGACCCTATATGAAGTCTTCTTCCATCCTGGCTGACTGGACTCTTTGTATATAGTGCAGATGTGCTATGTACTTGTTGCCATAATATATCTTGGACCAACAATCAAAGAGTTAAAAAATAAACCTCAGGAACTATTTTTGGAATCCTACATAATGCAAGCAGGCATCGCGACCGTCACAAGTGATGTGATATGCACAGACCACCAGATGATTTGTTACAGAATATGCAATATCGTAGGCACAACTAAATCAGTAATAAAATCTATAGTACTCACGCGACAACGTGACCGCCTTCGTGAGGCCCGATGTGATCAAGTTATTGAATTTAGGTTATAGTACATATAGAGTAACAGCTAAATCACCAATCTGTTCATGCAAAAAAGTGATAGAGTTATAAATTTATCGCGTGGGTACTGTAGCATGCGCTTTCAATGTGTATGTGCTAGTGCATTCAAGTAGCAGAAAAATTTGATGACCATCCTTGTTTTGACGTTCTATCCGCTTGAAGCTCAAAAGTGATAAACTTCCTAGCAAGTACAGTAACATCGGTTGTTGTTCTGAGAAAGCAAATACAAGAGGAAAAAAAAAAGAGGAGAGTACCATACATCTCAACTAGTATGGCCGAGACAATGGCGGCTATGCTTATTATGTGTAACCAGACCATCCAAGGGAAACCATTATAAGATCTTACGTAAACTTTCGCACGACATATCATAACTTTGGTGCGAGAAGGGGGTTATTATCAATTATAGCCAGGGCTGTGGGCGGTGTGTGCGTAAACATTCACAAGAACCAAAAGTATTGATGTTCAACATACGTGTTATGAGAGCGAAGATTTCTGTCTTGTTCGCCGCAATACCTCATGTTATAGTTAGCGCTATAATGCTTACGTTTCATCATCGTCATCGTCAGCTGACACATAGAATTAACGTATTTATACATGAGTGGTTGAAAAAATGGTAATCCATGAAAGGGGAAGATAGGTCACGGGTGTATCGGCAAGAAAAAGAGAAAGTCATTGTTTCCAAGTTGCTCAAGTTTCTGAGGAATCTCCTTTTGATGCAGACTTGCAAGTCTAGAGGAGTGAGGTCCTGTTTGTCCTTACGTACCAACTTGGCATGAGATTTGCCAAGAGATCAAAATGACTTGCTCAATAAAATTGAATGGTGAATGGTGAATGGTTTCCATTTGTGCTTCATGATCACAAAGCACTTGACAAGCACAGTATGAATGCGTAATTTTCACCCTCAAAAAATAGGCGACACGGGAAAACTATGCTCGCATGCTAGATGAAACTGCATATGAACATGTTACTGGTTTCGACTTGAGCTCACAGTAACATTTGTGATCTATTTTTTTATCAATATTACACAATATTGTACATACGGTTGCTGAAGAATTATGATATCATCTTATTAAGGATCACATAAGACTGCAAAATTTGCAAGTCCCGTCGTCATCTGCGCCATTGTTTTAGTCTAATCCTCTCATTATCGGGGTTAGGGCCAAAAAAAACGATCCAAAATAGATAGCATGGTTTTAAAAGGATCGACGTCTTTCCACTCGCAACATTTTTTGATCTTTTTCCTTTTCATAGAATACCCCTCGCTCCTTTTTATTCTTTACACACGAATGTTTCGACCTGCACGATCATATCGGTCTTGGGTTGCCGGTTGTACTGCCGTAGTCGGTTTCTTATTGTTAACACATATACTGCTACTACGACCGACACCCAACAATACGTCTAGCGTCAGCTGGCAATCCTGGCTACGAAGACCGCGCGCGAAGCCATGGACCCTTAGTCGCGACCCCAGTACTAGTATCAGCAGCAGCAGCAGTAAATCCTTACCACTATCAGAGAAGTTCTTGACGTTTCTCCCGCATTCCGGCCTTCACAATCAACGTATTGCTCTCATCAACGCAGCTATTCTCGCCCATGCACTTAACCGCACACTACTAATGCCAGAGCTTAATCTCGGCAAAGCTACGTTTTGGCGACCGTCGGGCGATTTGGCCGAGAAACTTGCGCGTTGTCCCGGCAACAATTTGAAAACAGAGAGTTGCTATGACTATCGTGACTATGTACCCGTACCAGTCGACGAGATCTTTGACTTGACACCGCTCCACGAGCTGGGTATCCGAACGATGCAACGGCACGACATGAGCCAGGACTACTTTTTACGCTACTGGGGCATCGACGAAAACAACGCCGACGAGATGATGTACATACTTGACGACACTACACGATACTCATATCAGATTCACGACGAGCTAGTAGTGCCCAACGCCACCTTGAAGCAGTTCCAGACACGAGTGGACATACAAGACCTCGCTAAAAGACAAGAGCCGTTCATCTTGTTTGGCTCGCTGTTTGGGTCGCAACGATTGGCACTCACTCGGTCCGACCTGCTCAACATGCGCGAATATCTACGTCAACAAGTCGGCGTAAAACATCCGGCCGTGCTTCACGAGGCGAATGAAATTGTTGACCGCCTCGGCGGGCCCAACAATTATTTAAGCGTGCATCTGCGACAAGGCGACGGTCGATTTAAAAAGGAAGCCAAAAAGACGACTGACCAGATCCGCCGCGCCCTCAAAAAATGTGCACAATCACACAACAATGACGGAAGCGATGGGGAAGACGAAGACGACGAAGAAACCAACTTGGCAGAGTTGCAGCAGCATATTGACGATCGCCCCTTGCTCCTCAAGGCGTGCGTTGCTGCGCAAGGAAAACAGCGGCACCCGAGCCTACGACTCATTTACATGGCTACTGACACAAAATCTCCACGCGAAAAGTTCGCCGATCTCTATGACGAGTTTGTATGTCTATTTACGCTTAATGATTTTCCAGACGTCGTACAGGCTATCCGTGACACAATATCCGACGAAGACCCCTATTTACGGGACGGAAAACGCTTACTGCCGCTGGTCGATGGCGAAGTTGCTGCAAATGCTGATCATTTTGTCCCAACGCCGAAAAGTACTTTCTCAGGATATATCCGCCAACGAAACGCCTTATTTCATGAGTTGATTTAACCTTCTACAGTTTCATGGCGTCTGTGTATGTACAGTAATATTTCATTTGTTTTTCTATTCTAAGGCATCTCTTTTTTCCTCCTCAGTCCGGATCGGCTGAACTTGTAAATTACTTATATTAGGAGAAGCTACAATCACTATCACCTTCATTACACTGTATATCATATGACTCAATACATTCTATTAAGACAATACATTTCATTTGCACCCACCTAATTGTTTTACTAGACTTTATATATGTGCTTGTAAAAGAGGTGACATCTGGGGCAGCAAATAGAAAAATCTGCGCTAACCGGAGCAGAACGTGCTAAACAAAATATATGCATATCAGTTTTCTTTAAAGTAAAGCATGTCTTGGCTGTATAACAAGAAAAATTTTGTAGTCTAGAAGCAATATACAGGATCTCATTATACTAGAAAGAAAATGGTTCCCATTAACGACACGCTGAACAAACCAAACAGCAAGGGTCATACATATTTTTCAAGGTCTTTTTACAAGATCAAGTGATTATCCATTCCCAAACTGACAGTATCACTTAAAGAACTAGAGTGGAGCCATGTAAAATTACAGTGCACAGTATCACAATCTTTTGCTACCATACTGCAGCCGTCAGTCAGTTCTGTTCACCGCAGTGATAAATGCATGCAATCGATTTTTCTCTTATTTATTTACACGCATGCAAAAGATAGTCATAGATACACATATAAACTGTATTTCCAGCTGACCCGGCGTATCGTTGGATTCTTCAGTTTGAAGAAAAACGAACAGTATGATATCGCAGTAATATTAATCCGTCAGCAAAATGATGTTTTTAAGTGTTGTCATTATAATATTTCAATGCGCAAATTATCTTCAATACAATCAGCTCGTCATGCTAAAAGCAGGTATACGCAGCAGTGTGCCCTTGATGGCGGCGATATAGATACATGCAGCTGTGATAATTGCCACATGCCATTTGAAGCTATCACTTATCGAGTTGACAAAAAACAGCCTTTTTAAGCTATAGGAGCGCACTTTTATCAGAAATCAGGTTCCTTGATCTCGCTCTACCTTACCAGTATTTATATCCAATTATATAGCTTGTTGGGTCATATTCACTGTTCAGATCTTTGTAGCTATAAATATATACGTCCATACGTCGAATTTGACAACATCAACCTGTGATTACTGAGTTTTGATCAGGGCTATCGTATTATACATTTTGAGTATGTACTATGCTTGAAAAAGCCAGATCATCTCTTGTACACATCAATCAATATGTATAATAGATTAAATAAGCTGCGTACTCTTCTTCAGCAAGGTCACACAAAAGAACAAGTCCAATTAACAATTCTCTGTAGCCACACGCCCACAAACACGCACTCACGGATCACTTTAGAAGAATACTTCACGTGAATCGAGGCCTTGATGCTTAATTAGCGTTTAGGGGAGAATGTGAAATTGATTGAACCATATATAGAGAATGGATGTTTCGAATTGCATAATATATCAGCAACAAAGCAGATGATCATCACTCAGATCTATGTCGATTGATAAAATAACTTGAATATTGCAAGGGATGAGAAAAAAATCAGTTGTTTATTAGTACTTGATAGTGTTACGTATATCAACATTAAGGGCTTCGTCATTTGTTTCGTATGAACGGAAAGTCTGAATGAATATGTGAGGGGTTATTCTTCTTATGTTTATGTGGAACCATCGGATCCCAGATCTTGCTGTTGCCCAACTTCTCTTTCCGCTACTGTCAAAGTATTCCATTATGGTCCTCACATTTTAACCAAGCGCTGCATATGCTAATTCATCTTCCGAGGACTACATAATATCAAAAACAGCAGTTAGCTTTTTTTTGTAGATATTCGTCTGACGATATGTTTAGGCTTGGTAACACTTGCATCTTCCTCATAAACCCTACAGAGTATGGGCGTAATATAAATGTTAGCATGATTAAATTTTATACAATCGTCATTTGTGCTACATACGGTTCTCCCAGAAGCCCTTGCAAATCTCGTACTTGATCCTTGAGATCATCCTTGACTGAAATCAGATGTCGAATATGATCCACCGCTATTATTTATAACAAGGTATCATATAATCATACATGTGTATGTGTTTGTGTAAGTTAGGCACATTTCTGTCCCTCTCTTTTCCTCTCTTCCGAATCGAAGAAAAAAGATGATATAATAAGAAACAGAAATTCTCACATTTTTGCAGGATAAGCGCTTCACTACGATTTCCTTGACTCAAGGACGGCACGACTTCAATCAATTGTTCGAAACCAAGGCGGATGTTTTGTCGCCGCTTTTGTTCGGATGCAATATGATTAGCCTTCTTTTCGGCTTCCGTTAATAATTCATGAGGTGCTTTCCGTGCTCGTCGTTGTCGACGAGGTTGTGGTTGCTGTTGACTGTTGTTTCCTGGGTCAGACGACGACGACGGTGAAGATAATGCTGCTGCAGAGTCTTCTCTAGAAGAGTCGTCTAATTCGTCTAATGCTCGTTTTTTGCGAGCTGTAGGTCGATTCGAATCAGTCGCTTTTTCAACGTCTAAAGTTACGTTATACAAAGCATAAAACAGCTCAATAGTCAATCAGGTACCGTTCTGATTGGAGCATACTACAGAAAGTGTACCTTTGTCGCAGTTTAATTGACTAGGAAGCTGTTTGTTATCGTCAGGCGAGGTCATTTTACAAAATGCTTTTTTTTAGTGAATGAGTAATTGGAATTAATTTCGAAGGGCAAGTCGATCGGCTCTTGCTCTCTTGACTCTCGCCGTTTTCTTTCCAGTGATTTCATTGGCTGTCTTGTACAACCCCGTGTTGGGGAGGGGGGCGCAAAAGGCGAAGCGGACTTTTGGGAAGTTGGAGGCTGTATGTAACACAACTATTCATCTGCAGCAACCACAGCGTGAATCTGTGATAAATAAATTGCAAACATGGCGTCGGATGATAGTGTCAAAAAATGATTAAGCTGCTTCTGCACATAGCTGCTATGCGACAAGGGAAGGGTAAGGAGACCCTCATCCAGTTTTACAGAAACCAGACTCACACAGTGTTGTTTCACTGAGACATGTACGACAACAACACCGCTGCCTTTGATGCGAAGATGTGGGGGGGGGGCTTGAGGGGTGGCTGTCATTAGCGATAATTTCGCTTCTAAATGCTTCTGGCAACAAAGTATAAACAGTTCCACATCAAAGGATACATACTTATGGTGCAAATCCAAGAACGCTCTACCCGCTTGCATGCAAGAACATACCCATTCAGCAAGGGCAAAACTACATCATAGGGGGGCTGCTGCTTTGGTTGGGTCAATGTCAGCCAATGAAACGAGCGGTGGTTACGTGACTTTGGGTTCCTCCGCCGCGCGTTCTGTTGTTGTATGATTTGTACTATTTTTTCTCTTCTATTTCTTTCTCTTCTTCTTTAACTTTCATATTCTTTTTTTTATCATGGGTGTCGAGTAAGTTAGTTCCACAAATAGGGTGTGAAAGGCTGTGGGTTTTTTGTATCTCTTCATAAAACATGATCCTACTTGGATGTTCGCCATACTGATATGTTGTCCATCAATCACTTCCCTTTCTTCCAGTATTGAAACTACTCAGGCTGGCGATGGCCAGAACTTCCCCAAGCCCGGTCAGACCGTGTCTATGCACTACACCGGCACCTTGACCAACGGCCAGAAGTTCGATTCGTCCCGTGACCGTGGCTCTCCTTTCGTCTGCCAAATCGGCGTTGGCAAGCTCATCAAGGGTTGGGATGAAGGTATGTAGTTGGGGTTTGTTATATACCAAAAAGAGTGCGACCTGGCATATCCATGCGGAAAGGGAAGAACCTGTATTTCGTGGTGTCCGTATGCATATGCTGCTGGTTGCTTACAAAAACCTTCGATTATGCAAAAACACAGGTGTTCCTCAAATGTCTGTTGGTCAAAGAGCCAAGCTTACCTGCACTCCCGACTACGCCTACGGTCCCCGTGGTGTTCCCGGTGTCATTCCTCCTAACGCCACCCTTGTCTTTGACGTGGAGTTGATCAAGATTCATTAAGCCTGAAAGATGAAGAAGCCTTTATACGACGGTGTATGAACTTGCAGAAAAATAAAGTAAAATCAAGGATGACACGCGTTATCCTTGCAGTAACATGATTGGGCTGGCAAGAAATTTTTTTCCACTGTGAAGTGAGCGGGGAATAATTTGGCTTGCACACGTAGCAAAAAGCGATACTCACTGCTTCTCTGGGGAAGTGATCGGTTAGTAAAGCTTCGTTGTCTTCTGTAGAGCATCCATCATAAGGAAGCCAGGAGACCTCGAAAGGGTTTATATTCTACATGTGCTGATATTCTTCACAACTTGCGGACGCGCGTCTTCACTTAATCAAACCAAAATCATAGCAACTAGAGGAAAGAGGCCCATATAGCGATGGGTGTATTTGCATGCATGTTCAAATGCAAAATCTATTAGTGAGTCTTCTACGTTGAAATTCTAAAAGTGGTACGGCGTCTTTCACGCAGATATAAAGCATCCCTCTAGCTTCTAAATTCTGCCTTTGTTTGACAACGAGAAATCCTGGGATGTACTAAGCAGTTGTGTGCTGCTGTTAGCTAGTGTTTGATGTTGTTATCTCTTGATCGTCCAGAGGAGGGTTGTCGGATGATATGTAGAAACGATAATACAAGTTCACCTATTCCTGATTCCTCCATTGGAAGTGGTTTGTTGGTTTCCTCGTCGATACTAGTGCAGTTATGTATCCTAGAGCAGATCGTTGAGGCGTTCTCGTCGCGAGTTCTTCCAGTTGTTGGACGCTTTTCGGAGAAGTGAACGCAAGAACTTGTGCTACATCTCGAACTTAAATTTAAAACTTGGTGCAAATACAGAACAAGGTGAATCATGCATTTGTTGCTCGGGCCATTCGGTACTGCTTGAACGTCTTTGATCAAGTCAAGACGTTACCTGTGTTGGTAGTGATCGGCATCGAAGGTTTCTCAAGCAAACAGTTTCGTGATTTCGCATTTGACAAAGCCGACAGCAATCCATTTTACACGCATTTCTGCCGATCGTGGGCGAAGCAAGTCCAAGTATACACTGCGGACTCCATTGCCAAACACATTGACAGTTCACCAATGGATCTAATGATTGCATTGGCATATGTCCTTATCCTCCTAGAGAAAAACGTAAGGGTGCTTGATGAATATGACGACCCAACCATCCAAGGTATCTACAAGACAGCCCTGAAGATTTTCTCCATCGAAAAAAACGTCAATACCTATTTGGCCTCACGCGCTGAGTCATTTTGTGATGCTATGGCCAGCCAGTTCGCGAAAACTCTCAAGTACGAAAAAGATTGCTCAGAGGAGTCCAGAAAAAGACTTCGTCAGTACGCGAAGATGGAATGGATTTCGCTCGACAAATGAAACGTCAACATCTTTGCACAGAATCTCCAAGTGTTACGCCAATCAGAGCTACAAGTCCAGAGAAAGAAAGTGGAGATCTAACCTTCGTAACCAGCGAGAGAGCCCAATCATCTGGAAGGTTCAACTGGGCAGAATGCTATGAAAAGGGTAATGTTTAGCAGATATACCAGCCATATCAGCCTTAAGCAGGCATTCTCTAGGAATACTCTGTAGCTTATATTACAATAAATGATTTCTCGCACTGCCAAAAACATATCCTAAAATTTGGTAGAGATTTGTAACTGATTGTCGTTAGAGAAAGATGAAGGACTGTCATCTTCGACCATTTGGCCACAGTCAGCAGAGTCCTTCGCCATGTTATTGCAAATACTGTCATGGCTGAAAAAAAAATAAGATAAAAAAATGGCATACCATCTATAACAAAAAAGATCACACGTTCAAAGCCTATGAGCGCCATACGAAGCTACCCAAGCTGCTCAAGCCACTCAAACTTGAACAAACAATCCTCAATTTTTCCTTCTTTCCAACCCATAAAGCCATCCGAACCCTTTGCTCCCTGCCTACAAAACCATTTTACCGGTGCAAACGTCCAATCAATGGTGTATATATCGCTGTATGCTGCACGATGTACGATTTGTGTATGGTGCATTGATGGTGCATTGATGGTGTGTGGACGGTGTATGAATCGTGGATCGCGTATGAATCGTGGGGTTCAAGGTATCGAAAAGAGAGGAAAATCGCGGTGCAGAATCCTGGAACACTAAAAAAAATCACAAGTGCGAACTTCACGCCATTTTTCTCAATTCGATACCTTGACCTTTTTACTAAAGCGCGTCTGAATACGTCGGTGGCTAGGACTAGCTGAAAACAAGCAAGAACGCTGTCGTCATTACAGTATTGCACTTCACTTAACATAGCTATGATGCATGGCAATAGTCTAGAAAGCATCACTACAGGTTGCAAATGTAACCATATTCATTTTGTGCTCTGTCTCCCACGGCGTTACACGGGGGTGATATCAATGGCGGTTGCGATACCAAACAGCAGCAATAGTCGTGGTGGCTATCATACGCTCATATGTATATGCTTCTGCGACTGGTGGCGCTGGCGGTGTTGATGGACACCATAGCTTGAGCAAACGCTTTTTAAACTTTGACTTTTCTTCTTCGTTAATGGTACTGGCTCGCTATTACAGCATCAGTCTTTCCATGAAGCATTTGTTAAGCGCTACGTATATATAGTTTCTTAAGAGCTAGCAGATACTTAAATCCGCTAGCTGAAACGCATCTGCAGTAACATCAGCTTACGTTCGCCTGTATTTTTTTGCACAATAAGCGTGTTTGAAACTTGGGATTTTTCAGCCAAGTACCTACCGGCTACTTGCGACGATTGACTGCTCATAAACTCGGCCCTCCTTCGCCGCAAAGTGAAGCTTTCATAAAGATCCTCTGTGCTTCCTAACATCATCCAAAGCCTTATTGACAGTTATTAAGTTATTTCAGTCGATCCTCGACATATTAAAATACATAAACAAAAGAATGTAATCCGTATGTGCCTTACAGATTCTTCAATTTTTGGGACCGATGGCATTTTTCTTCCTTGTTATTCTTTATATCAAGTTCATCATGCCCTTCTGCCCAACAAGACGGCGGGTATAACAAGGCTTTGACAGCTCCCACGAAACATGGCTCGTGCGACCTTATTATTTTCGGCTCTCGTTAACTCGATGGGTTTCAGAAAACAACAGTGCGATGTTCGCCCTGCTTGCTCATGATCAGCGTGTGGCGCTGGTAAAGATCTAGAATATCCTCTCGCACCCAATTGTACAAATGCGTTAATGATACCATAAAGTTTTAATGCAATTATACGTATGAGCAAAACTGACATATAAGAAAATGACAGGGAGATACTTCGCTTTCAAATTTATTATATCATGTTCTCAATCTCATCAGCACTTAGATCTTTCTCCAAGTGTTGCCTGTATAGTATTCTATCTATAGTAGTTTTTGAGTTTCATCCATACAGAAGGAATCTCGCGATGACCCAACCAAAGAGCTTCTATGATAGTAGGCATGTTACATTTGCCGTAACTGTCTTGAGCACTTTTATTTTCTTCTAGTCGTGCATTGTAGGTTATGTCAATATAACAATAGAAAATGATTTGCGATGGTTGAGTTGGTAACATATGATAATGCCGCGTAATAAAGTACACGCTACTTGAAAGCATATATGGTGGAATTTGTATAGAGCGAATTCGTCAGAATATGTGTGTGCATGGAGATATTTCAGCGGATAGCAATCATGTAGGAGTACGGGCATGATAATGAACTTGCGAATTGTTTTAGATTGCATGGGTATATCCGGTGAAATAAAAACTCCATCTTTTGTATTCTTTCATCATAGTAAAAACAACAACATTTTTGTTATTCTTTATATTTTATGTTTTGCCTGACAATATCTTATCAATAGTACATAGTAGAAACGACTACAATGCAATAGTTTACGATGTAAAATAGGGCGAAGTCGTTTAAACATTGCTGCTTATGCATTCCATTGTCGCTGTTGGCCATCAGCTGTTCAAAGCGCCAAGGATAGCAAACTGAAAAGTCAACATCAGGAGTGGCAAGACATAGTATGTAACTTGTTGCTACATGATTATCCTTGCTCACATAAAACTAAGAATATCATAGACCGTCTAGACCACAAAAAAGTGATAGCCGCTGAGTAGACCTACGTCGATATACTGTACCTTCACCAAATAGTCGGCTTAAAAATCTATCAGCGTTCATTGTACACGTAATCACAATAATTTCTGTTTGTTTGTCAGTTTTGCCACAAACAAGCGAGCGTTGTGTGTGTGTGTGTGTGTCCGTAGTTATGTGCTGAATGCAAGTCGATCAAAGGAGAGTGATCGAAAAAGGGACTTGGTGAAAGGTGGCACAACAGGGTTATCTTGAATGGGAGAGGTGTGCAACGACCGACGCAGTAATATGTGGTATCCTCTCATATGTACTGCTGCATTCATCGCCACATTTTATGTCTTATTCCCTCCTCATCACAGGGGGAATTTTTATAAAAAAAAGAGCGAGAGAGGGAAAGGGTCATGTTGATGTGACTTATAAGCTAAAGACCTATTCAGGCACAGAAGAAACCCAACTCGTTTTTCTCTTCTTTCCCTTCTTTCCCTCCCTCTCTCTCCCTCTTCCTTCCCTTGTTGCCGTCGTCTCTGTTTCCTCCACACCCGACCCCGACTTTTCTCCCTCTATCGCTCTACCTTCTTCATAAACCGATTTCAATAGCGAAACTACAATAACAACAACAAACCAAAATGGACAACGTAATTGACCTTGTCAACAAAATCCAAGACGTGTTCTCGACCATTGGCGTCGGCAATGACAGTCTCGATCTACCACAAATCATAACTGTCGGTTCGCAAAGTGCAGGAAAGTCCTCTGTCCTAGAAAATATAGTCCAACGCGATTTTCTACCGCGTGGTAGCGGCATTGTTACTCGTCGTCCACTTGTGCTGCAACTCGTGACATTACCAGCAGCTGCAACATCAGAAGATTACGGCGAGTTCCTTCATGTGCCAAGCAAGCGATTCTATGACTTTCAGCAAGTGCGCGAGGAAATTGAACAGGATACGGCCCGGATTGCTGGCAATAACAAGGGTATCTCACGACAACCGATCCATTTGAAGATATATTCGAAAAAAGTCTTGAACTTGACCATGGTGGATTTGCCCGGTTTGACAAAGGTAGTTTCTGTCGTCAAAGCAATCTTTGATCCACCTCCCGCTCCCTCTCGTCCTTGCATTGACAACAAATTTATCTTATTTTTATTCTGTGTCTTTTGTTAGATTCCTATAGGTACAGATATAGTAGAAGAGGAAGGATTGCAGAGGGCGATTACTCAAGTGGCTCATTTGTTTTTATTATTTAATCGTGGGAAGGGGATCAACCTGCGGACATTGAGAAGCAGATACGAAGTCTGGTTCTGGATTACATTTCCAAGCCGAACAGGTAATTTATAGCTTTGAAATGGATCCTGGAGAAAACGACGAAGGCTAGCGAGTCAGTAGTAATAACGCATGGTCCCTATAACAGTATCATTCTTGCTGTAAGCCCGGCCAACACAGACATTGCCAACTCGGACAGCTTGAAATTGGCACGAAAGGTCGATCCAGCCGGCAAACGAACGATCGGCGTCGTTACAAAACTAGACTTGATGGATGCAGGCACCAATGCATTAGACATTCTAACGGGCCGTGCGTTCCCATTGAAGCTTGGATTTGTTGGATTGGTCAACAGAAGTCAACAGGATATTTTGACGAACAAGTCGATGGGGGACGCACTCAAGGCTGAGCAAGAATTCTTTGAACGACATGCAGCATACAAAGGAATTGCTGCCAGATGTGGGTCGGCCTATTTAGCCAAACAGTTAAACTCGGTAAGACAGAACACACCCCCTGTCTATGTACTCACATCCAGTTGTTGGGTCGGACAAAAGCATTTTGATTATTAACAATCTGTGTGTGTGTATGTAATGTTGTACGACATGCTTGTCACAAATACGCGCACAATATAATTCATTAGATCTTGGTGGCGCATATTCGGGATAAGCTGCCCGACATGCGGTCTAAATTAAGTGCCATGATTGGCCAGACTCAGCATGAGCTTGCCCAGTATGGTGATCCTGCCTTCATTGGCAGCGCACACAAGGTATAATGACAAGGACTATCATTCAAGGTTCACTATTGCTAACAACGATACACAACTCGTCAATCGCGTGCTGTCTATTCTGTATAGGGTTCGCTGGTGCTCAAGATGCTTACCATGTTTGCAACACAATTCACGGCATCCATTGATGGCACGTCGCCCGAAATATCCACCAAAGAACTGTAAGAGACGATCTCATAGAGGAAGTAAAAAAATATATATAGAAAAATGTAGGAATAGCTTCATTAATTGGGATCAACGGATGGTGATAGATCTGGCGGTGCACGAATCTACTTTATCTTCAATAACATCTTTGGTCACGCACTGGATGCCATTATCCCCTGCTCCAATATCACCAATGACGATATCCGTACTGCCATTCGCAATTCCACAGGCCCTCGATGCTCGCTCTTTGTCCCAGAGTTGGCATTCGACTTACTCGTTCGACCACAAATACGACTCTTAGAGGCACCTAGTTTGCGATGCGTTGACATGGCATTCCAAGAATTGTCCAAGATCTGTCACACATGTCATACAAAGGTAACAAAGGTTTTTGCTATGTTTGATTTCGTTGCGCCTGTTCGACTGACTTTACTATATCTCTTGTTTTCAAGGAATTGATGCGATTCCCAAAACTGCATTCAAAACTGATTGATGTCGTTTCTGACTTGTTACACGAACGCCTTGGTCCTACCTCATCCTATGTCAAAAGCCTGATTGATCTTGAATGCGCATATATCAACACAAATCATCCCGATTTCCCTGGTGCAACCGGTGCCATGTATGAATTAGAAAAGAACAGAAATAAAGGTCGTAAAAAGCAGGCTCAGGTATAGATCATTGCAGGGCGGGTGGAAAATTCATGTGATGACAGGGTCCTATGTTACTTAAAAAACCATTTTAGCAGGAAACTCTGAAGGTAAATGGTGTATCACAAACAGCAGCTGATCCTATGCGCCGTACAGAACGCTCCTTGTCTGTAACATCTTCTACGACCGGCGCATCCGCGTCGTCACCATCAAAAGATTCGTTTTTGAACTACTTTTTCGGTGGCGCCGCACGAACAGATCGACCAGCTCTCTCAGGAGCGCATGATAAGCAACACGCACATCCAATGTCACTAGCAACAGAAATCGAAGGAGAACTAGAATCACATTTTGCAAACAACGTAAGGATGATCCTCCTTTTCTTTCAATCCTAGCAGTCATTTACCAAAAGAACAGGGATATATACGTGCGCGTGCCTGTTACGTGATGCAATATTCTTTATTGATGTGTGGATGTGTGGGAACCCTTGATTTAGTTTACTTTGGAATCAGGAGAAGACTTGCTTCTACAATCATCTGACAAGGAAGACATGGAAGTGGAGCTGATAAGTAAGTGGTCCTCTTTAAAGACGGTTTGTTGCAATATCGACTAACAATTAGATATCCTGCCAATGTAAAAATAGGGACCTTGATTATATCCTATTTTAATATTGTCCGTAAAACCATCCAGGATCTGGTTCCGAAAGCCATCATGCATCTATTGGTTAATTTTACCCGCGAATCGGTACAGAACCGGCTCGTGTCCGAGCTGTATCGTGAAGATCTCTTTAGTGAACTCTTACTAGAGGATTCAGCTGTGGCTGCCGAGCGTACACGGTGCAAAGCCATGCTGGACATGTATCGAAAAGCTTTCGGCATCATTAGCGAGTCCATTTAGAAAAGGTGAAGAGGTGGAAGATATACAGTAGCGCAACAGTTAATACCTAATTACACATAAAGAATGCTCGTCTTTGTTGCATGTTGGCATGTTTGACTTGGTTTTGTAGCTTGCATACATTAATCAAAGTTGTAAGGTTTTTAATAAAATTTGTTGATCGCGATGATCATGTTATAGCGATAATAATAGTAATAGTAATAGTAATAGTAGTAATAGGATAATAATAGTAAAAAGAAACTGCAAAAGAAAATAAATAAACGGGAAATGCTACAGGAGAGAGGGAGAATAACAAAGTAGAGGACGGCCAGAAAAGGAAAAGGGATTCTTTTTTGGGATTTTGGAAGTACAGACTAATGAAAAAGGGGTGGGAAGAACGCCGTGTGGGGCAGCAAGTGCATGAGCTGAATACGTGTGTGCTTTGCGGGGAGAGTGGGGGCAGAAGAACAGGTTGTGCATAGATACATGGTTTATGTAAATTGAAAGTATCATGTATGCTGTAAGAGACGCACTATTACTATTGTCGCCCCAACAGCCATGATCTTCGATTTCGCTGCTTGGGCTCATTACAAGACTGTGGACTTGTCGGTGGCGTTATTGGAGGATGTTCATCTGATGGCGAAGATGACGACGACGGATGGATAAGCTGCTCCAGACTTCTTACAGTCTGCCTCGATGACACGGTCGTGGTAAAACTCTCCAATGTCCTAGGATCATGCAAGAAGGGAATCCAGTTTGGCGGTACCTGTACGTAGTAGTGTGTGTAAGATGGGGGGGGAGGAGGAGTTATTGATTAGTGAGTCGTGAAGGAGTAGAATAGATGATATGCGTGGAGGAAGATGGGCAATAGGGAAGGAGGCTTATTTTTAAGGGGAGCAGAGGCCCAAAGGAAAGCAAATAAACATTCAAAATGGCGGCGGGGGAGGAAGTATTTGTCAATAAACAGCAATTACCTTGCAGAATTCTTCTTGATAGTGAATCAGCATTTCAACAATGCGAATTTCCTCACGCGCACCGCGTTGTCGTTCTTCAGCCAGCTCTTTGGATGCCGTGGGTGAATAAAAAATGGTGGGTGCAATCACCCGTGCCAGGTTGGTAACGTCCATTCTGTTTGTCTCGTAAAATGTGGCGACCCATTTCAGAAACAAAAAGAGGAGCTGCATTGTGTCACGGTTTGGCTTGGGAAGCATGCAGCACGCCAAATGAAGCACAGTCTTGGTCTTAGACTCAGTTTCCATCCCTGCATACATACAAAGAAGAAGAAGAAGAAGAAGAAGCCCAGTCGTCAAAGTGTCAGAAGAAAAAATATACAATAGGACATTGCTGTGTAGATAGCACATACTAGAAGAGTATGTACTAGAGGAAGGACTTACGTGTAGATGTGACGAGCAAATTATAGAGCTTAAATGTCAGTAACGGCTCCGGCAACTCACGTAGATAGCGTTTCAATAAAGCGGCCAGTTGGATAGGTGATTCGTTCAGGTACGTCGTGCTCGTGCTGTTTTGGTCAATCGCGTCGCATATTTCATTGAGCTCACGAATGTTTCCATTTTTACGGAAAACGCCTTCGAGTGACATGTCTACAAACAAAGAGCCATTGTATGTTGTTGTCAGCTGACTTTGGGCACATCGATTGAACTTTTTTCTATTTCTTTGCAGTTTTAATGGTGTTGATGATGCTGTTGTCATCCACTAATATTACCCATGCCAAGTAGCGCCAGGATGCAGTTTTTTACAATGACAGGAATCTCTGCGGTAGGCGCAAAACAAGACGCCAGCATGCTGTTCGTGCATGGTAAAGAAGCAGCAGTGGCGCTGCCTGTGCTTTTGTCTCGTGCTGCTAGAATTGCAAGCGGAACACCAAATGTCTTTCTACTGTTGCTGCTGCTGCTGCTGCTGCCACCTGATGCTGGTACTGGGGATCGGCTTGTTGCTTCAGAATGTTTGTTGCTGCTGTTGTGATGATGATTACTATTAATATTGGGTGTCGCCGCTGCTGCTGCTGCTGCTGCTGGTCGTGTTGCCGGCGGTACCGTAACGCCACTATTACTACCACCACAACCACCAACAGCAACACTACTGCTTGCCCCGACTTTGGCTTTAAGCCGATACCATAGTGACGTTCGTTTCGTTTCTACAATGGCAATCAGTTGATCCAACGAGAGAAATTCGTGGACGATGGATTCCAGGTACAGTACAGCCATATGTCGCACGATTGTATCTTGGACTGCCGATAATTGTGCAAGCTGACACGTGTCAATGCTGTTGCTGCTGCTGCTGGTGCTGTCGTCGGGAGGAGAGGGTGGGCCGACCGGAGTAGAGACGCCTTCCGATGTGTCCAATGAGCATAGGGATGTCCTTCGTTGCACCACTGCTGTTGCAGATGAGGGTGCTTCTTCCTGTTCTTGTTGTTGCTGTTGTTGCGGGTGTCCAATGATTAATACGCCTCTATTTCCAGCACCGTTATTGTTCATGCTTCGTCTGTTGTTATTGCTTCGGTCAAAAACATCATAAAGTGGCCGGCGCTCTTTTCGATTGTTACTAAGCGCTCGTCGTAAACTTCCCAAACGACCGCCTCCGCCACCGGTGGGAGTGGTAGGACTTGCGGATTGTTCGCGTACACTCGTTACGCGTCGTATAGCTGATGATGTAGAAGTAGTTGCTTCGGGTGTAATATGGGCGTTGTTGTTGTTGTTGTTGTTGTCATTTTCGTTGCTGCTGTCTCTGGTCGATTTGGCACGTTTCACGTTTGTCAGGTGTACAGAGCCGAAAAGCGACTGACGACGAGTACCTCCATCCCCATTACCACCGCGGTTCATTAATCGCAAGATAGAAGATTGTCGCTTGCCTCTGTTTGCATCCGCATCTAGCTTGGTTTCATATTCATGCAGCATCACTTTCTTGGAGCTTTCGTCCGCCTCTTTCACTGTTTCATATCAAAAGAGAAAAAAGGGAGAAATATAAAGGAAGAAGAAAAGGAAAGAAAAAGATTAAGGAGGAGACGGGGAGAAAAAAGGACGTGTCAATAATAATAAAGGAACGGGTATATGCAGTGTTTGTATTAATAGCGCAGCAGCGATAGCAGCAGTAGTAGTAGCCACATACCTGATGATAGGATTGCATTGTTGTTGTTGTTGTTGCTGGTGCTATTACTCGTGCTGCTGGGTAAAGCATGGAGCCGTGCCAATGCAGCTTTGACGTGATCAAGATACTGTTCCAACCGACTAATGTGAGCAATCACCTGGGTATTGTCTGCAGCTGTAGGAGTAGCAGCAGCAGCAGCAGCAGCAGCAGCAGGTAATGCTTGCTGTTGGCGCTTGTCGGTGCAACAAATGTTACATAACAGGACTGCTGTTTGCTGCTGCTGGTTCTGTGGGAGGTAGCCACCGTTATTATCCTTATTGCTACATTCTTCCTCTCCTGTGATGGCAACAATCGTGCCGGCAGCAGTAGCCGTGGACGGTGAAGGATGATGGCTCAAACGCGCCCTTTGCAACTCCTTGGAAAGTGGACGATGGCATCGGGTGCAGATGAAGCACGAGGTGTGCCACCGCAGTGCCCCCTTTTTAAGACACTCGTCGTCGATAGCCCGGAAGCATCTTTGGCATCGATCGACACTGATTGTGCCTTCGGACGAAGAATGGAAAAACGGCTCGTCCTTAAACCAGTAGCGGCCCGCCATCCATACACGCTTTTTCTCCAATAACAAGAGATTGGCGAGGAACCGGTATACTGCGTCTTGCACGTTGTGCTGGCCCTCCTAAAAGAATTGCGTGTACGATTGCAGTAGCAGCAACAGTATGTATGAAAAGAGATGGAGGGCGAGAGAAAATAGAAAAGGGGATTTAAAAATATAAAAGAAGCAAAGAAAAATAGAAGGCAAGGACACGATTTTTTTTAGAAATGCAATTCATCCCACAGAGCACATACGCTTGCACCCATATTCTACACGGGCACAGCAAGGCAGGCGAGAGAGCGCTAGGCTTTAATTGTCAAATATATGGCGCTTACCAATCGTAGTGCCTCTGTGAGACCAATGCGGATCAGGGTTTTCAGGTTCTGGGCCATGCCCGTCACGAGCGACAACAGCTCCTGGGTGACACAAGTGTCTTTTTGCTCCATATCGTCGTGGTACGCGAGTAAATGGAAGAAACGGATGATCTGTTGGCACACGGCTCTCGGTTCGCTTATGCATTGCAGGACTATTGATAGAGAGAGAGAGAGAGAGAGGTGTGTGTGCAATCGGTGGAATGAGTGGGGAGCACAATCAAGCCAAAAAAGTCAATGTAATTGTGTGGCGCTTTCCACATAGCACACCATCACACAAAGTGTTTGTTTACCTTCACCGTTGTCCACCAAAGCCATGTTGATCCAATCGAGCGCCGAAAATAAAACTTCAAGATGTGTGACAAACTGGGCGGCCATTCGCAGTCCTTCCACGTACGCGCCTGCAGCAACATGGAGTAGCATGTCCGAGATGCAAGTCGCCGACGACTCCTCGAACGCCGAGAGATCCGTCCAGATGCGATTCACCTTTTTTTCCACTAGCACTTGCACCTCTTGTAATTGCCGAGCATCCATCAACTTGGGATCTTCTATGCGGGATTTTTTGTGGGTGCGTACGTGATTTTGGGGGAGGCGTGAGGTTTTGGGGTAGCGCAGTGGTGCAGAAAGATGATCAACATTTACGTTTTTGTTTTAGGGAAAGAAGAAAAAAAGGAAAGTAAGAAACCATTATGCTTTGTGATGGTGTGTTATGCAGCTTCTTACCGTGGTGGTAATAAGATTCGCATAATCGAATGTTCCAAAACTGCATGAAATCGAAAATAGAGTAGGGAATAAGAGCAGCCGAGTCAATACAGTGCGTGCATATGCTGCTAACTGCAGTAGCAGTAGTCATATAATAGCACATAGTAGTAGTAGTAGTACTAGCAGTGTATACATATATAGCTCGACAGAGTGCTGCCCTACCTTTTGTATCATGTAACATTCGGGGTGCCATTTCTTGCCAGGGTAATGGTGATGCTCCACAAACTGCTTCAAAATGGCCTGGTCGCAGCCAGCACAGTGGGTTTTGCGTAGCATTGAAAAGTGGTATCGACAATAGGCTTGTCCGTCGTATTCAAAACATGGCTCGCCAAGCTCTTTGCCTAGCCGCACGCAGTCCGGGCATTGCAAGCATTGTGGATGAAATCGCAAGTCGTTGCTGACAGGTCCCTGGATGGGCTGATCGCAGTGCCGGCATATCAGTCCGAGGTGAGCATAGTAGTGATATTCGCACAGTATCAAGGCTCGCTGGACATGTTCGTTTTTGGTCTCGAGTGCATAAAACTTGGATGCAACCAGTTTGTGACAATCCTAGATTAGAATCAAAGAATGAATAGAAAATAGAAACATTTATGCAAAATCAGTCATCTTTTCTTTAGGGTTTTCTTTTTGTCTTCCCACCTCCCTTCTTTTCTATCTAAGCCCTCGCCTATGGCTTTATTAGGTTGTGGTAGCAATTAGCATCGAGGTAAGACACCAACCCACTAATAACGCCTTTCCCCTTTCAACTCTCTCTTTCTTTCTTATTTGTGCTATGACCCTTGTGCATTGAGAATTTAGAAGCGATTCTGTCGTCGTTGTCATCATCTGTCGCGTATGATGCAGATTATAGTATATGCGTACCCTGCAGTTTCCGCTTCAATCTCTTCCTGAGACACACACTTGGCTAATATACTTAACCTTTGAGAAACAGAGGATCCGCAAACAGGAATGGCTCCTTGGAGTGTTTCTTGGATGGAGTGGTATGTAATACAAAAAGATACTCGCCACCCAAATATCACACCGCCCCCTTTTGTTTCCATTGTTTGCTCCTTAACGCATCTACGCACGCACATTTGCTTTGTTCACTTACTCGCTTACTTACTCACCTACTCACTTGAGTAACCAATAGGTGGAAATATTCGTGTCTCAACTTGCTCTTCTCTGTACTCCCCCGCACCCCATCCTCTCATCATCATCCCCACCCTCTTTTCTCTTACTTCTCACGCACGTCTTTCTCTCGCTGCCCCCCCTCTTCCTTTCCCCTTAAAATATCACCTGGATCTCAACGAGCCGATAGCTTTTTTCTTTGTTTGTGAATCCTGTCCTCCTTTACCGATCTATCCATTTTGAATTCCACGACACGTACCCGCCTTTTTCTTTTTTTTTTGGTGGCCCGTCTATCCCGGTCACTCCAAGAAGAGATTCCTTTCTTTCTGTCACCCTTCCCCACGCCTCTTTTGATATGATGTTGCGGTTGCAGAGTGAGTAGGTGAGGGAGACAGTAAGCGGATAAGTTAAGAGCGAATGTGCGCACTCGCAAAAAAGTATAAATGTGCATATATACAAGTATATATAGAAATAAAGAATTTGCAAGGGGCCGTAGCACGCAAAAAGATAGAAAGAAAGAGAAAGAGAGAGAGAGAGAGAGAGAGAAAGAGGGGCGTATAGTGAAGTGTAAATCCGATAATTCCCCCAATGCTGCCACTCACAGTATTGCATGAAAAAAATAACAATTACTCACCTCGCAAATAAAGCAATTATAGTGGTATGTTTCGCCTAACGCTCGCACAAGCGCGCCGTCACCTTTCAAGCAAGGCTGTGCACACGCGCGACAGCTACGTATCGGTCGTCGAGGTTCGCGAGTCCACTCAGGACAAGGAGTCGTTGCTGCTGTCGTCGTCGTTGTCGTTGTGTCTGTTGTTGTAACGTTTGAATCGTGCTTGGTTTCAATCATGGTCATTTTGGTGTCGCTGCTTGCGTCGGTCGTTTCAACATCTTCCACTAATTCATGGGCGAATGTTGTTGCCATGGCGACCAGATATGTCTGTCAGAAAAGCTAATGTCCGAGCTTGTGTGTCGATGATATACGGTTATGACAGCGAGCGAGAGTAAGAGAGAGAGAGAGAGTAAAGAAGAACTTAATGTGAGGATCTCTCTCTGTAACTATGTTTAGCAGCGCGCGTAGAATAGGTGCCGTTCGTCGTCGTCTTCTTCGTCGTCGTCGTTGTCAGCTGGCGCGAGTCTGTCGTCGTGGTTATCGTCGTTTGTTGCAAAGAAAGAAGGAAGAGTGAGCTAGGGTTATCGACAGAGCCAAGAGAAAAAGAGATTTGGGAAAGCGAAAGAAAGGGCAAGAAAGAAAATGGTTGTTTGCAGAAAAGAAAGGGGGGTGATCAGAAAGAGGGGCTGTGTGAGAAGAAGACGGAGAGGAGATGGGGGATGGGGGATGGGGAGGGAAGTCGTGAAAGGTGGATAGAGTCGAGTATAGAGCAACGGCCGCCACCGTTGAACGGCTGGAACCCACTCGTCGTAGGAGTTACATTACCTACGGTGCGTACTGATCGATTGCCATTCCATTTTCTTGGTACGACGACAACAACAGCAACAACAACAAATAGCAAATAAATACTTGTTTTTTTTTTATTGTTGCTCGATTGTTATGATGCTGGCGTGTGGCCCTTGAATCCAATCCCACTCTCATTAACAACAACAACACTGAACCGCTTGGACCATTCCAGTATTTTTTCACACCATTCATGTGTTGTGTCCCGATACTCTGGGCTCTCCTGTACAGCATCCACTTGCTCATCACTTAGTGGTAAGTAGCGCCGTTTTCGCCGAGTTCGCGGGGCGCGTCTACGACTTGCCACACCTTGGTCATAGTCGCACATCATTCGGATGTGTGGCACGTAGTCCATCATTGTCACCGTGTCTGACAGGTATGCACGCCATGAAATCAAGTCGCCTGCTCCAAAGAGACAATCATCTATCGCGAGTGCTCTGTCGTAAAGTATGAATACTACGTACTATATTGTCCGACCAGTAGGACTACAACATACAATGGAAAGCTGTACATCGAGTATACCTTTCCTTGACAAGCTCTTCCCATACTGTCGGCAACAGAGCCTTGCGCCATGTGTCATCCCTGATACTTTCATACGCTTGAACCCAAAAGTAAGATGGCATGTCTTCGCTCAAGGACCAGTGGTCCAGATCGGTAGGATGTTTCCACATTGTCGTGTAACCAAGCAGTTGATCTTGAGACGGACCGTATTCGTCGCATTCATGCAGCTGAATTTCAAGTTGTTACTTAAATGGGCAAGTCAACCGTTTTCTTTTTTACTGCATTGGTCCGAGCCTCCTACTCCCCTTCTTCATACAATCCTCCGGGCCAACAAGAACGACAAGAACAGCAGCAGCAGCCTAGCTCCAAACTTCATCCTCGCTTACACCCACCACCACCACCATCCAACATTATCTCACACAAAAACCTACTGTCTCTTACCTGACGATTTCGCCGAGCGGATGTGCCCATCAGTACGTCCCCCCATGATGCTCGGTTCAATTGTTCCACGGTTTCCAAAAGGCTATTAGTATAGCCACCTTTCTTGGTGGTGGTGCTGTTGTTGGTATCGTTTCCATGACAATTATCATCGTTCGCGATACATTTCTCATGGAATCGGACAAGGTCGACTCCGCATTTGGATGTCGGTTGCTGGATACGAAATAGCTGCTGATCAATCCTGCTAGTACTATCAAAACCATTACTATGATCACCAGTAGTGTTAGCAGCGCCATTGATACCTGTGTACCGGTCGAAAAGATCAGCACATTCGTAGAGTAGTACGCCAGGATCTTCAGCGTCATCATCCTCGCCACTTTTTCCAACGTCGATGAGGGCAGATCGGGCACTGTCGTCGTTTTCTGTGCACCACAGCTCGAGTGTATTGATGAGCCGACGTAGATCGTATCCTGTGGTGGCAACAAGTCCAGCCAGATCGGCAGGATGGACAAGGTAGCCTTCTGAGAAACACAGCAGGTGCAAGTATGCCATTAACTCTTCGCTATCCGGGCACCTGTAGTTCAGTGTGCCTTGTAAGTACAGCATGTCGGTAGGAATTAAGTTCCGATCTGCAAATTAAAAAGAAAAAAACAAACACAAACTTTATCAGTAAGGAGGGGCATAAGAGAAAAGCTACTAGCGACCTAGCAAATGATGTAAGGCAAAAGCATGCGGCGAAAGAAATGGGGCGCACAGAAAGAATGTAGGAGCCGATGACAGCATCTTTTCTTTTTGCTTCTATCGCTGCCGCTGCTGCTGTCTCCAACCTTAAGCAAAATGAAAAACATATACGCACGCACTTACCATTACAAGTCAGCACAATCGGTCGTTTACTTTTTTGTGCAAGTTCGATCACTGAGGCCCAAAATCCTTTGTCGTCTTCGTATAACGTGTCTACTTCTTCTAGTAGAACCAAACTTTGTTTTGGTTCTTGCTCCTGCTGTTGCTGTGTCTCGAATGCTGCTGATTCTGCTGCAGTAGACGCCGCTGTAGTTTGATGGCTCCCCTGACTCGAACTCCCATCATCAATGTGGATGACGTCAATTTCAGGTGCTTCGGTCGCAGTAGCAACAGGAGACGGGGCATTCGCAGCACCCGTGAACCGACGCATAAAATGACTTTCGTTGGTAGCGCTTATATCACTAGGCCGGTTATTTTCAGTCGTATCGGTTGCACGTTTCCTCTTTTTTGACAATGTTGTTGTTGTTGATGATGGCGTCGTCGTAGGATGGGACGTTACCAAATGACTTGAAGTCATTTCCCCGACATAAGCTACCAGATCCTTCCCAGACCGCTTGACACCTGGGTTTATTTCAAAAATTTGATATCCTGCTTCTGCTGCTGCCGTGTACACTGCTGCTGTCTTGCTGCTACCGTGATCACCGACCAGCAGGATCAAATTGGATTGCATGGCTGTTGCTTGAGGATTGCTTTTGCCGGCTCGTTGTTTCTTTGCATTATTGCCACCACCGCCTTTACCTCTGCGTCCTGAAGGTTTAAAATCGTCATCATCCTTGTCGTCTATCATGGATGCATAGAAAAGCGGATCGTCCAAAAACGCATTGAGTCGCTTCGTTTTCTTTTTGCTCGTCCTCTGTGATGCTGACATGCGTTCAAATGCCGAGGGCGCAGCGACTTTCATTTGGAACAGCCAGTCCCTTAAATAAACATTGTCGTCTTTGTTACCGAGCAATTCTTGCACTTTGGTGGGTCGGTAGAGTTCGGTCCATGGCAAATTACGAGCTGCTGGCGCTGTTCGACGTCCTTGTCGTCGTGTCCTTCCCATGTTATTGAGTAGAGATTGACATGCTGGTGAATTTTTGCATGACGGATAGACGAATTCAATCAGATGGCGGATCTGCGTTGTGGACATGCTACGTGTCTTAGGCTGCCTCCTTTGGTGCTGCTGGTGTTGTTGGGCTGCTGCATTTTGTTTGGAAGGTGTTAAATACCGTGCTGTGTCATTATGTATGATGGTCTGTAAGTGTGAGCGGCCTTGCTGGCATGATCGTGGTGGTCGTAATGGAGGCACAACACGCGTCTTTTCATTAGTGGTGCCAGTGATTAGTCTTTCTGCGACGCCTATATGACCGCCTTGGAATATCGATTTGTCTGGCCATAACGGTTCGTGGTCTTTATCTCGATTACGTTTCTTTGGTGCTGGCGGTGCTGGTGGTAAGGGCGAAGAAGGTGCTGGCGATGAGTTTGCTGCTTTTGCTTGTGGTGATCCTGATGTCAAGGATTCCGTTGCAGTTGGTGCTGCGATCGATTGTGCTCCACTAGTATTGTTATCAGTGCTACTATTGGTGCTATTAAGTTTTGGCGATTCCGATGATTGCTGTTGCTTAGTGAAGAACGGATGCAACGGGGGTGATGCTGATTTTGATGGGGCTTTTTGATGCTTTTTGGAAGGCGATGGAATTTCTGCTGTTGTTGAAGCAGAAATAGAGTTGATAGCAGCTGGCGACCAAGGAGTTTGCCGTGTGGAAGACGTCTTTTTCAGCTTGATCTTGGGTTGATCGCTGCTATTACTAGTAATTGACAACGATGGATCTAGAAGTTCGCGTTTGTTACTACCACTGCTTGGTTTAAAGAAAGTATGAAAGATTTTGCGTGGTTGTGTCGATCGATCGTCTCCATCTCCCATGACGGGTTGTAAAGTAATGCCAAGTGCACACAAGAATAAAATAAGAGTTTGTGGTTCTAATTGTCACGCGTAATACCGCGTTTCGCCCCAAAATGCTTTGCGAAACTTAATTCAGGTCCGCTTCTGCGATAGGTGGAGGAATCGTAAGCTGCCTGGATATCATCTGATCAGCTGTTATCAAAGGTGCACACATCTTCTTTATTATTAAAATCTTTAAAAGTTAGCTGAAAAATCCAAAAGGAAACTCTCATCCATGTAGATTCACAGACAGAAAAAGAGAAAGTAAATACTTACGCAAAGCATTCCCCAAATTCATGGGGGACCTCGGCCGCACTTTTTACCCGTGGGCGCGGGGAAATTGTAGATGAAGCAGGACTTACGCCCGGAGGCTGCCTGAGTAAAAAAACAGCCGTTCGCGTGAAACGATGCAACATCCGAAGATGGGTCGAGACAGAGGCTACTAGGAACTGCGAGAGAAAAGCAAAGGGGGAGGGGAGGGGAGAAGGATAAACTATATAAAGAACGCAATAGACGCTTTTAACGACTTCCTGGGTCAGAGCAAGGGGAAAGGGAGGGGGGGATAAATTATACAAAGAACGCAAAGAAGAATATGAGGCTTTTAAGGACTTCCTCAGGTCCAAGTCAAAGCAAAAAGCACCCGCCACCATCCAGATGGATGGATAGATCTTGACCACTGCCGATGGACTACTTGACAGGTCGGCTTCTAGGAGCGGGATGACAGTGGAGCATCAATCTTGACTAGCATGGAGGTGTCTGTGCACTATCGCCATTCCGAGAAACGAAAGAGATGAACAGTTAATGGGAAACTGTTAAACCACACACATACAAGATTCTATCGTGCTATGCTTACCCATACTTCTACGATGAGACACAGGAGAGCCGAGCACACGGCCAGAGCAGAGCAGATAATCACAGCCAAGACAGAAACACTTCTTCTAGCTGGAAAAAGAAAAGATCATTAGAGGGCTGCACCCACTGTGCTATCTTTAATTTTGACACGGCATTACCATCCTCCTCCATCCCAAGCTGACTTACATTTGTTTTGTCGTTTTACAGCAAAGTTATAGACAGAGAGAGATGGGGTCTAAGCCAATCCAAGTCCAAACAGATCACCGCAAAGCCATCCTCTATTAGAAAAAAGAAAACATCTATGAGCAGCTGCATACATTTTTTGACATGTCACGGCAGACATCTTCCTGGTTCTTCAAACACGCAAAGACAAACACAAGCACAACGATACTTACTATTATGACATCCTTGGCTTGGAGGAAGAGAGCCTTGAGTTAGAGAGAGGAAAAGCAAGAAGGGGATGACCAATTCTGAAAAAAGAATAAGAGAAGAAAGGGGAGGAGAGAAAGAAAACTTTTTTGAGAGACTGCCATATTGCATACGGCATGGTCAGGAGCCCTTTCCCGTCACGCTGCTGTACACACTGCACACCTTTGACGCGTCATCCCCAACACCCATGTCATCCTACTCACCTATCATACCAATGTTCAAGTCCCCTTTTGCTTATACTTACTATCTGTTATTTGTCCGCAGGACACAATTAACCCAACCAGCATAAAGCGAAACCTGAAGTAGAATGAAAAGAAGAAAGATCATGAGCAGGCTGTTCTTAATATGCAACTATTCCTGACACGTCATGGCATCAGCACCTCCAACAGACACTCGACTTCTCTCCAACTCATCCTCACATTTCATTCCCTACCGTACTTACAGTTGTTGCTTATGTTTAAGGGTGGGATGCAAACAACAAACCCGAACCAACCATTTCAAAAAGTCAGAATCCTATAGTAGTAGCAGAGAAGAAAGGAGGATAACATTAGCGACTGTATGCTGTACACACACAACTTTAGACACGTCGAAATTCATATCTTCTTTCGTATATCACATCCACATGCAAAACCTCAAAGTACACTTCAAACTTTCCATATTGTACTGTACTTACTCTTGCATTTGTGCTTTGAGAGCCAACGTGAGGGGGAGATGGACCAGGTTAAGACGAGAAGAAGGTTTGTGTCAAAAAGAAAGAAAGTGAGATAAACGGATCTTGAGATACTCACAACCGGTTGCATACGCTCTTCTCACTCACCAACACAAGCATACACTCCCCGATCCTCTAATCCGTTCCAATGATACTCACATTGAATAGCTTTGGCTTAGAAAAGTTGACGAGCAGGAAGAAGAGCGACATGGTTGCTGCGGCCGCGCGGTTATATAGTAGTAATGAACACGGCATTTGAGCCAGTTCAATCTATCCAATCAGATTGCTCTCTCACGTTTATGACGCGCCGAGGTGTGTGGCTCCTCCAGATCAGAAAATTTGTTCTACATGAATGTATGACTATGTGAGTAGACGGGTATCGCATCGAGAAAAGACTCAAGCGGATAAGCGTTATAAACACGATATGAAGCTCACTTCAAATCCTTCATCATCTGAGAAGTGTCATCGCTTTAAACACGCTGGATACAAGTATCAATACAAGTATCAACGTATACAGGAGTATCCAAGATCTCATGAGACATGACGATCCCGCACTTGCCGATGTTCCATATGATAAGAAATCATGGTCTTTGGTGTTGCCTTTCGCCAGGTATACAACATTGTATCCTCTCTTCTACTTTGCATCCTTTTACTATCGAGCGGTAGTACATACTTACATCAAAGTATATCATACCAAATGCATCGCGCTCGCAAATCGTACAGCAGTATCTAAATCGTTCATTTATTTGGCCCAGTGTCACCGTCCACCGCCTTGAAACCAACATGCGCGTCCAACAACCTGCCAACACCAATGACACAAACGAGCATGGCCAGTTTATGCAATATTTACTTTGCATCGGTGATGGTGCTGAGCTGTCGGTGCCAACCACTGATGACAGAGTCCGGCTACCAGATCGGATGCTCATGCCACATTACAACACGTACGAGCTTATAGAAGCCATTTACGGCGACCTGAACGCGCCACGCGTGGATCTTGATCACCTCATCAGTCGCTCCATCTTGACTCCCAAGATTGTCTATGTTACAGCAATTGATAATTTGGTACTCGACCATTTCCCAGGCACTGTTCACGAATTCCAGAGCGCAGATACCGTGGATGATCCTGAAGAGCAAATAACGTACCCACCAGAGCTGCTCAATTCCATGAATCCATCCGACCTCCCTCCGCATTTGCTAAAACTCAAAGTCGGTTGCCCAGTCATGCTTTTGAGAAACTTGCACACCCAAAGTGGTCTCTGCAATGGGACACGGCTGATTGTACGCTCTTTCCAGCGATATGTATTTGAAGCTGAAATAGCCACTGGGCCTCATGCCGGTAACATCGTCTTGATCCCTCGCATAACTCTCACACCTTCACAAACACGTTCCCCCATTCAATTTAAACGCACACAATTCCCTGTTCGCCTGGCATTTGCAATGACCATCAATAAGGCACAGGGTCAAACTTTTAACACTGTTGGCCTCTACTTACCTGAACCTCCTTTCACGCATGGTCTACTCTATGTAGCCATGTCACGCGTCCGCACCCCATCATCTATAAGAATCATGTTAGATCCCGAGAACTCAAGTATCGCGGGTCAGCAAGGCCAAAACACCCGAAATGTTGTTTTCCATGAAGTCCTTCTCTAATTCTCTTTATCTTCTATCCTTTTTTTTATCTTCTATTCTCTTTATCTTCTATCCTCTTTTTTATCTTCTATTCTCTTTATTATCACCTATTCTCTTTTTATCAATATCTCTACATCATCTTTGTCAACACTTCTTTTCGCATTGCATTTTAAACTGGAGATAGTTAAGTATCCAACTTTGACGACTTTCTATGATAGGCTACTTCTCACTGCACAATGATCTTGCTTTTGATTTTGAAAACAGACAATAAGCATCTAATACCAAAACATTGATCCAACCTCGCTCGACAGGGGGGTTTGGGGGGCTTGCCCCCCACTTGGGGGTCAAGGGGGGAACCCCCTTGCGACGCGTTTCCGTTGAATGACACGGAGCGAAGCGAAGGGGCTCATTCAGCCGAGCGAAGCGAGGCAGGTGGATGTTGATATACAGTATTTTCAATAAGTAATGTCGCAGCCAATGAAAATCAATGTCGCGCCCGATGAAAATCAATGTCGTTGTCCAATGGAAATCAATGTCGCTAGCCAATGAAAATTTATGTCGCATGTCCAGAAACGGATGTCGCTTGCTTAGAAATCAATGTCGCATAGGTTAGCAAGGAATTTCTTGGCACACTAAAAATATATATAGGGGTGCGCTGCCTTTTTCCCCAAGCTTTTTTTTCTTCCTCACTACATCGCAATTCAACATGAGTGCACAATTTTTGTACGAAGATGGACAGGGAAATGTTGATGAACATGGCAATCCGGAACCTATGGATTATATTGTTGACCAGGAACAATTTGTCGTTGAAACAATTACCTCTTACACTGAGTACTTAGAGAAGACGGCTTCTGTGGGATCTCAAAGCATCGCAATGCAGGTGGATAAACCAAGCAGCGAAGATTCTCATATGGAGAAAGTGGGTGAAAAGCGAGAATATGTACGCTACACTTGCCAAGATAAGACCAGGTTCTTTAAGCTGAAGATTGACAAGTGCTTGACTGCATCAGCTGCAGCAAAACAGCTTGGTATTCATGTTCGCACTGCCCAGAGATGGGTTAAGCAGTATGATGAACGACCTGATAGTATTTCGGACAAGGGTAAAAAGTCTGGTCGTAGACCCATTTTGACTGCAGAACACAAGCAGACTGTCACCGACTTCATTGATGATAATCCTTCTGCTGCAGTCATCGAAGTAGCTGAACATTTAGCGAAGAAGTATAAGGACCTTCAATTTTCTCGCAGCACTGTTTACAACTTCATGAGGTTTCACTGCAACCTTTCGTTGAAAAAAGCAGACTTTCAATCTGTTGAAAGAAACAGTGTGGAAAAAATTCAAGAGCGATATGACTGGGTCCGTCAGTGGGAACAAACTGACTTGAACTTCCTGACAAACTGCGTATTTCTTGATGAGTCTGCATTTCATATAAACATGAAACGCACAAGAGCTTGGTCAAAGAAGGGTGTTCCTGCTGTTGTTACTGTTCCTACAACAAGAGCGAAAACAACGTCTATTTTAGGTGCCATCTCTGCTTCAGGCTTAATTAAGGTAAGCGTGAGAATCCCACAGCCTCGTAAGAAGAGAAAGGCTGATGACCAATATGAGAAAGTGAGCACTGGCACTGTAACCGGTCACTACATCAGCTTTTTGAAGGATACTTTGGATGAAATGGACAAGTTTCCTCACATGAAGGGACACTATATTGTTATGGATAATGCACCTATTCATGTCAACAAAGATATCGCAAAGTATATTCAGTATCGAGGATATAAATGTGTATATCTTCTTAAGTATTCTCCTGAGCTTAACCCAATAGAACAATTCTGGTCTGTGGCAAAAAGCAAGGTTAAGCGCAACCGGTTCCTGTCAGAGGACACCTTATCGACAAGGATCCGCGATGCATGCAACAGTGTAAGGTCAAGCGACTTCCAAGGTTTTGCTTCACATTCTCACAACTGCTGGGATAAATGTCGGAACAAAGAAAACTTGTAATATTGTACAGCCTCATTAACAACTAATAATATGCATTCAGGTAAGTATCAATCTTTTCTTTTTTTCAGTTGCGCAATATAGGTAAGTAGCAGTGGTAGAAGTCGAATATGGTCAGGAGAAAAAGGGTCAATGACCTGGTAATGGGTCTGCCAAGAAAATCCTAGCTTGGCTATGCCACATTGATCTCTAAGCAAGTGTAACGACTTACTCGTGACACTGTGATGACTGCGCATATCAATATCTGTTATCTGTAATGGCCTCTTCATGACCTCGTGATGTTTGCACACATATTAATTCACGCGCATCCATCTTCATAATTGAATCCATATAAATACCCAACACCCATTCATCAAATAGAAGTCAATTCGATTGTCTTGCTATATCTTGTCTTATCTGGTAACATCCAGTCATTCGACTATCTATCCGGAACTATCCCGTTCTTCCTGTCTTGTTCTGCTCGATCTTCGTCTCACCCTTTCAGTGATCTTTCAATCCGATCTCTGATTCTTGTCTTGTCTCGTCTTATCTAGCGAAAGCACCTAGTACCTTGCCGTTTCCCCGGTTCCCATCTTGTCTTGTTTTGATTAATCTCTGGTCTTGGTCCTGTCTTGTCCTAGTCCTGAAACCTTACATAATTATAGCAAAACGATCTATTGCAAAACAGTTTACAGTAGTTTGCGTTTGAAAATGTAAAAATCGAGATAGCAAGATGTAATTTTTAGATCGTATGATGTAATTTTGCCAAACACATTGTACTTTGGAAACGGTCGATGTCATTTCTTTGAGCCTGATGTAATCATTGACAACAAAATAGCCGCACAGAATTTGGTAAGGTCAATTAACGCATTGGTACTGTTCTCCTGCAGCTTATTTGACGTGGTCTATTCTGACAAATACGAGTTCAGAATACGTGCATTAAGAAGTATTATCAGTCAAAGGAACAGCTCTTGAGAGACAAAGTAAAGATGCATTTATGGGATAAAGCAACATGAGTACAAAAAAAAACGAATGGGGGTCGGCCAGGTGATCCATTTAAATGTTCACAGAGAATTTAGTCAAAGGGGCGCTAGCACTATGGTATCCATCCACATGACGTTTATCAACATTGGTCCCTAGGCAAATATGACTCGACAAAGAGGTATTTGGCAATGTATAGAAAGTTAGTACACAAAACTCGTCCAGAACCGTCAATATAAGTAGCTTACCGATTCGACGGTAGCACTTGGAAGAGCAAAAGACAGTATTGACCCTGGAGCCACGGCCCATGGTTTGGTTGTTGCAAAGAAGAAAACACATGGGGCGCTATTGTCTTCGGTAATTGGGAAACCGAGCGAGCTCCCAAAAGGATCAAGCTGACCAGAGACATATGCCATCACCATAAGGTGTCCCAAAGCCATACGTAGTCCTATTGTCATCTCGTCTTCATACCCGACATCGAGTCAGTTCTTTTGATTCCAAGTGCACCTCATCCCGACAGTATTGACCCTGGAGCCACGGCCCATGGTTTGGTTGTTGTGAAGAAGAAAACACATGGGGCGCTATTGTCTTCGGTAATTGGGAAACCGAGCGAGCTCCCAAAAGGATCAAGCTGACCAGAGACATACGCCATCACCATAAGGTGTCCCAAAGGCGTACGTAGTCCTATTGTCATCCCGTCTTCATACCCGACATCGAGTCAGTTCGAGATGGGCAAAAGGCAAAATATTTTTACGCTGCCCCAGTTTTAATTCCCACAGGCGACGTCATAGGCTTTTGAAATAAGAGTCCGACGTCAGCAAAATATGCTCGCGACACTTTCGCCTGCCTTCACTTGCATTACACATGGACCTTAGCGAGTATTACGATACGTACAACGGGAATGACAAGTACCGTCGCTTCTTTGCCGCAAATAGCCTTAAGGATTGGGGATTCTATCACTTCAAAAATCATATTAAAAAAACAGTGCGCAATCCTCCTTCGTCCAACACGCTAGAATCTTCCTACCGGAGGTGTCTCGACGCTATCCAGAAGGATTCCTCGACACCAGATAGCGTCAAGCAAGAACTAAAGAAGTTGTTAAAGGAGGTATGAACAAGATAAGAATGATCCACGTTACCGTTTCCTCATCTTTTTCGTATTAGAACGACAATGGCACTTCGTCACCAGCAGTCTCGTCGAACACATATCACTTACACCAAGGAGATAATTCGTTCGCATTCGTCAACTCTACTAATTACGGGGCTAATATGGTTGGGAAGGAAGGTCCCGGTGACACCACCACCACCACCACCACAGAACCACGCTCCGAAGGGTCTGTCCTTGGCAAACGAGGTAAGTTTTCCCGTTGTGCACGTATGTGTATACTTAGAGCTGATGATCTCATACAAAAAAGCAGCAAGTTCTGAAAACCAATCCGACCAGGATACGCATCCGTTACCCGCACAACGTGCCCGAACAGTGGAGATGATGTACAACGCGCTGGCTTCGAACGAGCCACAAAAGACTCCAGAGCCGATTACGCCCAAAGATTTTAGAAAAGCCGTGTACGAAGCTGGCGTCAAAGTGGTAAGCGCGCAGTTGGCTCATCGATAGTTGTGGATTAACATACCTTTTCTAGCTGAATAAGCAGCTGTCTCTCCAGGATGCCAGCGACCTGCGCAAGCTCCTGAACAATTTCACCGCATCTGATTCGCTTGGAGAGCAGCTGGACGTCATGTCGGCCAACCTTGCCCTAAAGATAAACTTGTCTGAAATTCACCAAGTCAACGCATTGAAGCTTTCCTTGTCACGGATCGTCGATACCGTCAATAGCCAAACTGAAAAGATATTTCGCAAGCATATTACCAATAGCAGCTTCTGGGAGCGAGTTGCAAAAGTACAAGAAATTAACCTCGGCCATGGCATGGCCCCAGCGGTCAGGGCACTTTATGGTGAAATGATTGCCTTGGGCACGGATATCCCACCCGACATGAAGCAGATGTACCAAAACGCTGTAGAATGTCAGTCGTTATCAGCTAAAGAGGCGAAGCAATTGTACCTTGAGTCAGTAGCCAAAGCTGCGCCTATGTACAAGAAACTTGATACGAAGCTTTTGCGGATCGCGATTGCCGAGGAAAAGGTGGCTCTACTGAAATCTGACGACACCCAGTGCTTGCAATTATTGGATATCCTTGAAATTGTGGCCAAGGCTTGCCTGACCGACCCCGCCGCCTCCCCTAATGACAACGACAGTAGTGAACTCACTTGCTACAGGAAGTGTACGAAAATACTTGATGAGGTGCTAAACGGTAGCAGGCTGCAAATCTTCGATGGGGAGACGACGTGCAAAGCCTCCAAATCGATCGCAAAAATGCATGAAAGGGTTTTTGGTTCGAACATTTCGTTGAACAAAGGATTTGGGCGCCGGATCGATCTGATTCTTTCCGCTCAGAATGAGGAACTATCTACGAGCGAATGGAAGAGACTCAAAGTATCACCGCGAAAGTCGCTGATCCAGCAGGCCAAGAACATTAGGATGAATAAGGCCATCCTTTCCTATCTGCTGAGTCTTCCCATTGACGATAATCTCATGGATAATGTATATACCGTTGGTATGGACTTCACCGGCCGGTGGGGTATATGTTTGCGGTGAAACGCATCGAAGATGTGTATGTCTCTCGCCGTCTTTCAACGCTTGTAATACCTACATATCTCGATGAGCTACCTTCATTCATTGATACGCTGGACCGGTTGTATGCTTGGCGACAACATCACTGCAATCTCAAGGATATTGTTCTCCCAGCCATCCGAAGTCAAAAACAAGCCGCACATTTCGCCAACATCTGCGGGTCTGATGATGCCGGTATTCCCGGATCACCAAACATTTACTTGACACCTACCAAAAAAGCTCATGGCAGATTGATTGATAATGACATCATTGAAAATGACGATGGTGATGACGCTGAGGAAGACTATGATAGTGATTAATTGTTTTCGCCGGGAAAATCTTCCACGCTCATTTCTCCTTTATACCACCACACTGTACATTTTAGCAACTTTTAGTCCAATATTCTCATCCTGCAGCATCAATAAAAAAGGCTACACTCATTGTTCTTGTAATTAGGGTGGCAACCGAAAGTATATGTCAAATATGTTTTCACCAATAAAACTAGTTTCAGCTTCTACAGAAGACGCTACGGAAAATACATCTTCGGCCAAGCTGATATTCACCAAGTGCTAAATGGAAATTTGTTGCATGCTAAGACGAAAAATACTGTCAGGGCGGGGCAGGGTTCAAGGCAGGGAGAGTTGATCTGTTTTTTCAACAGGACAAGAGACGAGGGCAATGGACGGGGAGCAAGGTTGGCTTTACCAGGATACAAAGGGTACAAGATACAAGATACAAGATACAAGATACTTCTCTATAGCAGTCTATGATCCCACTATTTATATTCTAACACTAAGCAAAGAGGATAAGATATAGAGGCTTGAGAGGGCTGAGGGATAACGGGCTGGTGGATAACGGGCTGATGGAGGCTGAAGAAAAGGAGGCAGGAGTAACACGTGATCCATGCCATGGCTCATGGTTCATGACAAATACTAAGCGCCAATCATTAGGAAAATCCAATATTGGATCCCGTGATTGCCTTGATTACTGATGCTTTGATCCGGGGAATATCATGCTACTTTGGTTCCTCTTTTTGGTATTCCCTCCTTTTTGGCATGCTAGTGACGCCTTGGATTCAGCACCTTCTCGACATGGGGTTGTTGCATACATCGAGTACTCCAGTTACTCAATCCAGGCGAGTCGATCTTACCCATCTAATAGATCTGACATGTTTATATAACCCTTCTTAGCATCCTCGGCTTACCGACCGTATCAAATTCTGTGTGGCTATTTTCTTTCTGTGTCGCGGAAGAAGCTTTATGCCAACCTCCAGACACATGCTCCACTTTACGTTCTGTTGCCATTAGTTACATCAAGGTCCAAAAAAATGACATCGACTGTTTCAAAACTACAATGTGTTTGGCAAACCTACATCGCAGAATCTAAAAACTACATATCGCTATCTCAACGTCTACATTTTCAAACGCAAACTACTATATCTTGCAGCAATGGCGAACGATCTATGGCGAGAAATGGCGAACGATCTATGAGAGCAATAGCTAACGATCTATGGCGAGAAATGGCAAACGATCTATGGCAACAATGGGTAGACGATTTTTAGTGTGCCAAGATATTCCTTGCTGACCTATGCGACATTGATTCCTAAGCAAGCGACATCCGTTTCTGGACATGCGACATAAATTTTCATTGGCTAGCGATATTGATTTCCATTGGACAACGACATTGATTTTCATCGGGCGCGACATTGATGTTCATTGGCTGCGACATTACTTATTGAAAATACTGTACAGTGCTTCCAACAACCGAAGTCGGTGCCGTTAGAATCGAATTCGCTGGCCAATTAAAATTGAAATCGCTAACCAATCAAAATCAAATTCGCGCTTTCACAAGTGGAAGTCGTTATTTTTAGAAACCATTTCGCCCTATTAGAAATCAGTGTTATTTCTTGGCAGGCGAAAAAAATTTTAAAGGCAGAGATTCCTTTTGCAAGTTTTTTTTTCTTTTCTTTCTGATTCCTGAAGGATGTGTCTCGGCTGTTTCGTGATCGCCTACTATGAATATTAAAGAAAAGAGAATCGTAACAATCAATGGCAATAACAATTATAATCCTCCCCTCACGTATGCCTTTAAGAATGTTATCCAAACCAATATATATCACCTTGAAGGACTGGTCTCGGCTGTTTCGTGATCGCCAACTATGGCTATTAAAGAAAAGAGAATCGTAGCAGTCAATGGCAATAACAATTATATTTCTCCCCTCACGTATGCCTTTAAGAATGTTATCCAAACCAATATATATCACCTTGAAGGACTGGTCTCGGCTGTTTCGTGATCGCCAACTATGGCTATTAAAGAAAAGAGAATCGTAGCAGTCAATGGCAATAACAATTATATTTCTCCCCTCACGTATGCCTTTAAGAATGTTATCCAAACCACTACATATCACCTTGAAGGATGTGTCTCGGCTGTTTCGTGATCGCCTACTATGAATATTAAAGAAAAGAGAATCGTAACAATCAATGGCAATAACAATTATAATCCTCCCCTCACGTATGCCTTTAAGAATGTTATCCAAAACACTATATATCACCTTGAAGGACTGGTCTCGGCTGTTTCGTGATCGTCAACTATGGATATTAAAGCAAAGAGAATCGTAGCAATTAATAGCAATAAGAATTGTCGTGCAATACAACATCAAAACAAATGAGAACCCTCTTGTGTAACCCTAGTCGCGAAAGCCATTGTGTCTTGTAAAAAATCCGTATGTGCGCTTAGCATAGAGCTCTATGGTAATTTAAACAGAGATCCGTATGAGAAGTTACCATAGAGCCCAAAGTCTACAACGCAGCATGTTGTGTGGTTGGAAAGTGGCTGTACAACCGTCAAAACAGCCAAGAACTGATCAACTATGTATATACAAAAAAAAAAGTTATATGAATTAGTAGTAATAAAGATCATGGTGGCGGGCTTCTGTCAAAAGCTTGCTTCCCACGCTTTCAGGCTGTACCCTTCTCTTCCTTCTGCCATTCACCAACCGCAATGACTTGAGACTTTTGTTGTCGTTTGCAATGCTAGATTCAGTAATGTTAACTTTGACATTGTTCGTTATAAAAACTACTTTATATATGTGCAGCAAAGAAAGAATAATACTCACACGGCAACAAGAGCACCTTTTTTCGAGTGACGGACCCGCTTTATACACAAAGAGAGGGCATAAAGAGCTTGCTACCGTTCAGGTCGTACCTGTCCGTTCATTCCACCATTCACCAACCGCAATTGTTTGAGATTTGTGTTGCCCTACAGTGTACAATTCCGATTGCAATAAAGTTAACTTTGACATTGCCTTTGACATTGTTCGTTGTAAAAAATACTTTATATGTGCAACAAAGATAAAATAACATACACTTCCGCTGACACCGCGACTCGATCAGCTGCAAAGATTGTTGTACGCAATGCGCGAATTGCGTACTGCCACCCACGTTGAGTGTCTGTAAGAGCACCTTTTTTCCAGTTACAGAACCGCTTTATACAAAA